GTAGCCCCTCGGATTCAGTAGTAATGCTGACTTACGCTAGTCAAAAACACAGCTCAACTTCTTATTTCTGTAAGGTTTTTGCTAATAGCAGCTCAAATCAGGGAACCACTATAATCTCAAAATCTAAGCAAGGCAATGCCTTGCTTGTAATGCAGTAATGCATTGTAAGTTGTAATGCAGTCTGGTGATTTACAAAGCCTTGATGCAAAAGCAAAGCGATTACTGCTTCTCTCACAGTAGTTTGGAAGTTACACTGGTTGCAGCATCCTTACTGGAACCAAACTGATGTTATTGCAAGACAGACCACAATTTAAACAAAGACATTTGTTCTTCCTCTCCTTGTGATGCTATCTTATCACAGTCCAAGTGTTTTATATCAGCACACTGAAATTATGTGCAATGAACAAGGATGTTTGAGATAAATTCTAAGAGTTACAAAGCAAATACTTCCTCTCTCTGTAAACAACGTGATTGAACCCACTTCTTGAAGAAATCAAGTTATATTTATATTCACTCTCTTGAAATGCTACAAGCAGCCATAGAAGGATAAGTTTATAAAAAATTGCTATATTTGGCAACCTTTGTTGCTAAGCATCTTCTAACATTCAGTACAGTTTATACCATTCATGTCCCCACTACATAATTAACATTTCATATGTTTTTCCAAAAAAGTGGAGTGCTTATCTTTGTTGTTAAATTAAAACCATTATTATTTTTTAGAGAATTAATAAAAGGCTGTGTGGCCACTTAATTAAAGCAGAAGCAACAAGCTTTCAGGAGCATACAAACATGGACATTACATGCAAGGATATGGCAGTCTATTTCCCAAACACTGCCTTCACTTGAGATAGAACAATTCTGAAGGCAGCTGTTCACAGTAGAAGGTGGTCTACTAAACAACTTAGGTAAACGTCTTCCGGTCTTAAGAATACAAGTTTCTCAGCTGCACACATCAGTAAGCCCTTTCCTTGGCAGGAATTCTGTGCACATGGATCCCATAGAAGGTACTCAAGTCATCTGAAGCCAACCATGAGGAGCCCATCGCACGCTGATGTCCAACAGGTAATGGGTAACTGCCCACTGAGGTACTAGCAGGTTTTCCACACTATGCTGTCATCCTTTGGATGTGGTGCTTGGGGATATGATTTAGCAGAGGATTGTTAGGGTACTATGGTTAGGTTGTGGTTGGATTTGATGATCCTTGAGGTCCCTTCCAACCTGAGTAATTCTATGATTCTATGATTCTTTAAGACAGGTTGCAAGAAGCAGCAATACACAATTAACAATGGGAATCACAAGCAGACTGCCAGGCAGAAGAGAAACCTAAAAATCACTATTTTTCCAGTGTAGTCATTATAGACAACAGAACCTTGAACAGAGATGAGGTATGTTAATTCTGAGAAGAGCCTTTCATACAAGCCAGTGATTCTTTCACATTAGGACTGACATTTTTGCTTTCAACTTTGTAAGACTGATCATAAGCAATTTCTTAGTTATTTCCAAATCTGACAAACAGTATCTTGCTCAACACTAGATAAATACATGTAACTTGTGCAACAGCAAGGGCTGGGACAAAGAGCTGATGCTCATCACCCCGTTGTCAGCTCTTGCAACAATATCATAAGGCTCATGATACCTAGGATTTTTCCATACAAACAGCCAGATAATTTTGTCATTTCATTTTATGCCAAGACTATCTTCTGCAGTGGAAAAGACGGTACCGAAAGAAAAACCCTCTAATACTTTAGAAGGACGAAATAAAACCATGCTTAACTGATGATTACATCCATCCATACACAAGTATTTAACGTGTTTGGTCATATTAACATTGGAAACGCCCAGAGCATGACACACATCCTCTGGGTTCTTTGTCTCCATTTCTTCTCCTTGCCCATTCTAGCATACACAACATTGTCCTTCCTTACACCACAAACACAAGAGAGTAGAAACATTCAGTGCAAGCTGGCATACACAACATTGTCCTTCCTTACACCACAAACACAAGAGAGTAGAAACATTCAGTGCAAGCTGATCTTAAGAAGCTCCTGAAACTTCTTAATGACTTCCATGAAAATGCACTGAGCTGCTGAACAGAAGAGAGAAATGGTTTGCCTGACCCCAGAAATATAAGCAAGTACCACTCGCATGGAGAACAAACGAGTTCTGCCAAGAAAACAGTTGGAATATATTTAACTCTACAATAGCTGTTTACTTTCCATTAATTCACATTAGTCAGAACTGGATAGAAGACAAACAAAAGCTTTTATAATGAGGAATCTTAGAAAACTTAACTATTGATGCCAAAGTGAAAGTTTTGGCTGTTGTCATACAGTTACTACATTTACCATGTTATATTAACTTCTACAACCTTGGTTTATATAAGCACTATATACACAATATTATACATGTGCATAAAAAATAAAAACAAAGTTGAAGTATAAAGATAAGGAAGGATGAGTCCTTCAGAAATTCTCTAAACTTCGTGTTGAGAATATAAACTGTTCCAGCTTGTAAACTTTCAGGCTTTCCAGCCACAAACAAAGCATCTCAAGATGCTAACGGAGTCAAGAGATCTCCAATCAACAAGCAAGAATAATCTTGCTGTAACAACCAAGTTTAGAATTCATGCCTCTAAATTCGTTTCCGTGTTTTACCCATACTTGCATGCATGTCAGATGGTATTGCTGCATTTAAAATTTGCAAAGGAACTCTTAACTCAGATACCACCTGAATATTAAACACCTTGATTACGTAGAAACTCACACCAGCAGTCTTAACTATACGTTTACATTATGTTTTATATTTTAATAAATACGAGCATCAGGTTCAATTCTGAGCACCACGTTACCAAAAGATTATTGACGAACTGGAGGGAGTTCAGAGAAAATCCACAGAAGTTCTCAGAAGGCAGGAAGGGCTTATTTATGAGGAAAGATTAAACGAGCTAAATATTTATAGTTTGGCCAAGTAATGAATGAGGAGGTAGGGGACATGAGAACAGCCTTCAGATATCTAAAGGGTGTAAACACTAAGGAGGGAGACTGAAAGTGTTATACAAGGATGTAAATAGAAATAATAGGATAAAAGTAAACAAGGAATACTTAGGCAGACTATCAGAGAGCATTCCTGGACAGCAAACTGTCTTGGCCTATGGCACAGTTTCTGAAGTGAAGCAACAGGAGCCCACTGCTCGGCAAAACAACAAAAAGACAAATCACTGTAACACTTGCCACATGGAACAACCCTGTGCTGCTACAGAGAAATTACCTCATAAAAGTTCTCTTTCCTAAGTCTAACTCCAGTGAAACTAGTAATATTTTACAAGGTGTTGAAATTTTAATATAAAAATAGATTTTAAGAGCTTAAACAATTAAAAAAAAAACCCACACTACTATGGATATTCCTTAACCACAAGCAATTTAATTTCTGTGTATGTAATGTTAAAGCAGCTGGGCTGTATTTTCCCCAGCAGAGGTCACTCCAAGTTAGCAAATGACAGATATTTAACAGCATGGCTTCAAACTTCAGGGAAGATCAATGAAAAAGGAGAAATCCTCATTCTCCTGTTCCAAGCACTGGGTTTGCATGCAAAGCTCCCAGATAGCAGTGCATCCTGCACTCCCACTGGTAGATGCCAGAGCTTTGGATCTACATTCGGTTTACACAACATTTACAATTTGCTGTCTGAAAAGCCCTCTGAAAGAGGGTAAATATCTCCTCTATGCAGCTGGATGACAAAATATCCAGAATTCACAAGCAGCACCGAGGCTGGATCACAGGAGACAGGGAGCCTCTTCTTTTGCTGTTAGTTGTACACATTTGTCTTTAAATGAACGTTTGCTAACTTAAAACAGAGCACAACCGTAGCCAGCAGAAGAACACTTTATGAGGCCTTGCTATGTCCATACATATTTTTTTCATCTTGATCCATGCAAAGTCCACAAATTCTTATTTGAGAACCATCTCCTTAAAATTCTGGAAATTGGCAGGCAAAGATCTTGCCGTTCCCAGCACCATCAGCCCTAATAATACTTCTGTCAGCATAATAGTTAATTCTGATGCAAGAATTAACTGTGCAGGGTCACTGCCAGAGGAAGCTGTCCAAGTGCCAAAGGAAATAGAAGTAACCAGCACATACAGCAAATACATATTTGCCAACTATATGGGAGCAAATATGCGTAAGCAGAACTGAAGAGTCATATTTTGACTAGACTGCTTTAAACAGCTGTTCTTGGGTAGACTTAAGGTCCAGCACTTAAACCATGTCGACACATTCTAGCAAAATGTAAGAACTGATACAGCGCACTTTTAGTATTTCATCCAATGAAAACAGAAGTGAGCTTGTGTTTAAGGACCGCCTGGAACACACTGAACCCTTCCTGCAGGATGCGTGGATGGTTCTACAATGCTGTGCTGGTACTGGAGGCCAGGGGAGGCCCCCATGCTGTGCCCCAGCTGAGCTGCCTGACCCAACCAGCACACACAGCCCCAGTCACAGGCTCCTGCTAACAGATAAATTACACAGAAGCATGCGGTACAGAATTAATCAATATTCAATGTCTCAGCATCTTGGGAATGCAGATCTGCAGGACAAGCTGTTCAGCCTGAGCAACACGGGATTTCAATCCAAGCAGAAAAATTCCTAGGGGTAGGTCAGTTAACTCACTAAACCACTAGAAAACCAAGAGACAGATATCAGGTGCTCCAGAACTGGCACAAGGGATTCCTGGTGTTAATAATCTTAACATTCGTTTTTTAAATCAATAAATGCTCAAACATTTTCTGGGTCTGTGCAGGAGCAGACTGGCGTTCCTCATGCTCTGTGCTGGACTAAGTTTCCTTTGACACAAAAAATATCAGATCTCATCCTTTCAAAAGCTGTGCATCCTTTCAAAATTAGTAGACTGTGGATTTCTATTTTTTATTTTTCTTTTTTTTTTTTTTTTAAAGAAGATGCTAATGGTTAAGTAAAATACTAAATAAGACACACAAATCCTTACCTGCTTCCTTGCACAAGGCTGCTAAGTCAGCACCCACATAACCATGTGCACTATCAGCCAGTTGCATCATCTCTGCTGCTGTGAGAGAATGGGGAACTTTCTTCAGAAGCTTCTGTAGTATATCCAGGCGGTCTTGGGCATTAGGAATTCCTATTTCTATTTCTTTATCAAAACGGCCGGGTCTGCGCAGTGCTGCATCTAGCACATGAGGACGATTGGTGGCCCCAAGTACCACAAGCTGCCCTTCACTGCCTTCCTGAACACATCAAACAATGCAAAACACTAACTGTAATTACATTTATAAACATATTTTAATGTAATTTAACGTAAACATATTTCCTGCTTACTTTTCACAGCTCCTACACACATTAAATCCTGATGATAGACCTAAAGGAGCAAAGCAAATCAACCCCCAAACTGTACCTACAATTTAGAAATACCTTAGGTTTTATGTACATACAAACAACAAAAGAGAAACTACACTCCAAGATCCCTTAATCCTAGCGTATCTCTCTAATTCCCAAGAACTTGCTTTCCAGTATCAGGAAAGTAAGCACCTAGGTGAAAAAAAGTCAGCATTTAGGCTAGAAGGTAGTGCTGGCATAAGAACAAAAAGGTTTCAACAGACCCTGAACAAACAAGGTTGGGAGGCAAATCATTTAGGGTATAGAAAGCAGCAGAGATGGCAGGTTACAGAACCCTCTGTAGGCTCAGTAGTAAAAGCAAAGTCAAAAATCCTAACTAATTTCCTCAAATTCTGCTTTTCACATTCAAAGAGAGGCAAAATCAACAAGGTCACTTGCACTGCCATTTGCATTTTGAGAATGAAGTACTTTCTCCATGGAGAACATTCAGCAGTCTTTGCCATGAGAAAATATGTTCTGACTGAACAATCCATGACCGGTCAGCAAAAGCCACAGTGCAGTAAAATAGCAAGAAACTTGCAGATTAAACAAACAACAGAGATTCATTTTTCATATTGTGGACAGAGTTCTTTTGTCTCTCCTGCTAGTAAACAGAAAGAATGAATGAGAGATTGGCAAATTTTATGGTCTTAATATGTAATACACTAACGTCAGTTAAATTTACTGTTTCTTCAGTAGGCTTTTGTTATATCCTAAATTTTACTATAGCAATCTTAAAATAGTCATTGTTTCCTTTAGTAATGCAGACCACAAATTATCAGAAATATCTTGATCTCTTTGTCAGAGCAATCAAATTAGCTAGTTTAGTTCAATGACGAGCTAGCAATAAAATTTCAGTTTTGTCTCCAGAACTACAGAAATAGGAGAAGTCCAATGAAAGACCAGAAATGGAAAAAGATTTACTTTCTTTTTATCCCACAGCTACCAGGGGACATTCCCTCCCTATGCCTAGCATCCAGTAAAGCATTAGATTACTACATAAAGTTTCACCTAAGGCTACTGTCTTTTTCCCTGAATGACATATCTAAAATTGGCTGCACTATAGAAATAAAAATACTTTGCTCAGTTAGTTCCCATACACACTGATTGCCTCAATGAGTCTACTTACAGAGCCAATGCCATCCATTAATGTCAGCAAGGAAGCTACAACTCTCTTTTCCACTTCATTCTGAGCCCCTTCTCTCTTTGGACAGAGTGCATCCAATTCATCTATAAATATAATAGAAGGACGACTGGAAAAAAAAATTGGAAAGAATAAAAACACCTGTTAGGTAGCTCAGGAGAACTAAAAAAAACCCAAGACACAGACTTGCAGAACTTTATAAGGAAAATATCCAGTTCCAGTGAAAATTAATGAGCATCCCACTGCTTTAAGCAACTGAAAAATTTGAAACTGAGTATGGCACTACTCTAAGGGAGAACCAAAATGACTAAAATATTAAACAACATCGTCAATGACCAAGTCAGTTTACTTTCCTATGACTCTCTTCCAAAGACTCAACACTGATTGAGAGAATAAAAACACAGCCTCTTACTTGCCACCTGCACAAATACGTGATGTGATAGCATTTTGCTAAAGTATTATCAACAACATCTCAAAGTCTGCCTCAATAAGATCCAATAAATTTGCCACCATAATTGAGAGGCGTCCTATATCCAGGACCAACACTAGCTCATTCAGAGCTAGCTTCCACATCCCAGCTCAGTCTTAAACTGCTCTTTCAAGATAAAACTAGAAAAATTTGGATCCAGGTGAAACTCTGGCTCATGCTTCCACCTGCTGAACTAAGTGTACCATGCACTAACGACACAGATAAAGCACTCTGGCACCTTCTTTAACAGACCCTTAACCAGGGTAGCGTCCAAAACATTTAACAGGCATACTAGAATTTCACTGTTCTCCTTTTACTTAGCTTTTTATAAATAAATTTATTTCCTTTTAAAACCACTGCAAGAAATAAATAATTCAATTCAAAGATTCTTGCAGATGTTTTTCTTTGAAAACCATTAACTCTGGGACCAATACCGCAAAGAAATGAGCATGAATATAATTATCCAAAAGAACATACCGTAAAGAAGCTTCGGCAAATATCTGACGTAGTCTTGATTCAGATTCTCCATAAAACCTATGATAATTAAACTATTTTAAATATTTTAATAAGAAATGGTGAGTTTTTCTGTATTTTCTGGGCAACTTAAATAATTACTGCTTGTGTGTTCCAAAAAGCCATAGCGCACCCTCTCAAAGTCTCCAGCAAATTTATGAAGCACATGCAAATCGAAAATAACCTTCCATCCACAAGAACAAAAAAACAGGTTAAAAAACACAAGGATACACCTATGTTCTAAATAGCAAAAAATCAACTGTGCTAGAAACAATTTATATCTGTGTTTTTAAAGAACAACAACAAAGAAAAGTTTCCTGGAGTCATTAATCTGTACACTGTCATCTATTAATTTCAAATACAATTCAACAAGTGAAGTAATTCAAATACACATCAGCAAGTAAAGTAACTCCTCTGGTTGCAGAAATAGCATGCGACTGCAGGTGCAGTTTTAGTCTTCTTTTTAATTCAGTCCATGCTTACCCAAATTTCTAAGCCAAATCCAATGAAACTCTGTTACTGCAACAAGAAAGAGGAGTCCTACTTGAGAGAAGCCTTTCCCATCTGTTTTTGACTCTTGAATGGATAACCTACAGCCAATTCCACAGAGGATGATGGATTTCCAATGGGTAGATGCTAATGTACCTATAGAATTAATGAACATAAACTGAGGACTTACTTGCTTATTATTTCAGGACCATTAATAACAGTTACATGAGCGCCAACCTCATTTGCAATGGCTTTGGCAATGAGAGTCTTCCCAGTACCTGGAGGGCCATACAACAGCACTCCTCTAGGAGGTGAGATTCCTTCCAGCCAGCACATGCACACAAACAGAGAAGAAAGTTATTTGTGATAAATGCCTCCTTTATCATGTGCACATTACGCTGCATTTGCACATTTTGCTGCCCTACAGTTATTACTGATTAGAACTTGATCTCAGCATTCACTTCTCTAGCCAACATTATTCTTTTCATTTTGATATAATGGCATTTTCAGGGGAAAGAGCTCTCTACAAGATGTGTGACACTTAGATGGGATGCATTATTCAACTTTTTTAAAGTCCAAATGATTTTGTTTAAAAAGCAAACATTTCAATTGTTTTATTTTCTTTTGTAGTTTGAATTACAATTCTCCCTATGTTTTATGGGTTATTTTTTCAAAAAAATTATTGGTCTAAGCACCTCATCTTCATAAATGTACTTTTTGAAGTTATTAACGACTCCTACAGTGCCATTATTCCAAATTTCCAACACCAGAAAACGACCTTTCCTCCACACTCCAGAGATCTCAGAAATACCTATCTGGATTGAAGTATTTGGCTACACCTTCCAGCAGTCGTCAAAAAAGATGACACCCACAGAATCACAGAATTGCCAGGGTTGGAAGGGACATCAAGGATCATGAATCTCCAACCCCCTTGCCACAGGCAGGGCCACCAATCATCCCACCTAATGCTAGACCAGGCTGCCCAGGGCCCCATCCAATCTGGCCTTGAACACCTCCAGGGATGGGGCATCCACAGCCTCTCTGGGCAGCCTGTTCCAGTTTGACACCCAGTTTGACAGTGTTTTGACACCCACGTGTCAAAAGGACAAATGTGCCCCTTTAATAGTAAACATGAAAAGCCAAAGAAGACAGAAAGATGAAATGGAAGACAGAAAGAACATAACGGACACTGAAAGAACAAAATATTCCTGGGTCCAGCTAAAACTGGATACAAGCTACAGATGACCACAGCAAAGTTAGATTGTGACCTCAGCTGGAAAAAAAAAACATTTCAGACCAGCAGAGGCAAATTGAGAGAGTAGAAAGCCAAAAGCAAGAAGTGAAAATTAAGAAGCCAAAAGAGGGGACCAACTTTGGATGAAGTGCGTTGCTGCAGTGACAGAGGGCAAGACACCTGATGTAGGCACAAAGATTGAGTCTTAGGAACTCAAAAGGGCAAAACTGATCTGCTAATTGACAGAGGACAGGAATAGTGCCTTTGCACTTTCTAACAGCCAATTCCAGCACACACTGCTCCCTCGTGTGGTGTTTCTGATACCGCAGGATACAGAGCCACACGGCAGCTCTGGCCTCCAGGGCAGCCCCATTTTCTCCTCTCCCAGCACTCCTGTGGTTGTGGAAGAAGCAGAGAATCTGACTGGATACACTGGGAGCCAAGTGTGAAGAATGTTGCTGCTGAAGCAATATTTGGTTCAACACAAGAACACGTGGTGATGCTGGAGTTGGAGGTCAGAGCTGGACAGTGCAGGGAAGGAGGCTCCTCACAGCATCCCACTGACAGACACTCAGCTCATGCCTGAGCAGGGCCTGAGTGTTAGGGAATTTGTCACAGTGATGGATGATAGATATCACCTCCGTTTTGATGGATGTGGGGGGGAGAGGCAATGCAGGGAAATAAAGAGCCTCAAAGACGTGATACAAAAGAAGTATTTATAAGTAAGAGCCCTACCTCACAGTGATGTGCACCTAGACATGTACAAGGAGCAGGTGTGCCTACTTTATGGACAGATTCATTTGAGATAAACACAGTGCAGTTTTATCTTCATTACAAAACCCCTGCATATACACAGAGATATAGATATTAGATATAGATTAAAATATGGCAACAGTAACCATTAGGATTTAAACCCTGCACTTGCATAAGAAACACTGCAGTTGGGGGAACGCTTCCTGAACGTTTAACAGGAACCCTGTGACGCACAGAGATATAACAACAGCTCACCTCATTTTTCTCAACTTAAAAAAATATGATTAGTTGACTTCGTCTAAATAAATAGATAAATAAATAAAACCTGGGAAAATACACCTTTCAAATGTCCATGTATAAGGTCTTTACTATTTGCTATAAACTCTGCCTAAGCATTATTTGAGTTGTCCTAGAGATAGATACATGTTACTTTCCTACTGAATTATGTTTCACACAAGCTAACCACTACATCTCCATCGTAGCCATGTAGTACAAACTGTAAAACAGTTTGACAATGCTTGGACACTCAGGTATGCTGGATCAGCATGACATAAAGTTCAGTGCATATTTTGGTAAAAATAACTTGGTTTATAAGAAAAAAAAAAAGTCACATTAAAGGAAAAAAATAACTAGTATCAAGTGAAGAAAGTCAACTCTTAGCATCATACCATAACTCTTGAACAGTTCAGCTTGCTTCAGGGGCAGTTCAACCATTTCTCTAATAGTTTTCAGCTGGCTGCTTAAACCTCCTATCATGTCATAGGTAACTTGGGGTCCGTGGTCACTATCTTCTGCTATGTTCATCCTAGTTTCTATAAAACTGATTCTAGTTCTTGAAGAAATGTAATAAAAAGTGTCTGTGCTGCTGAATGCTCCAGGTATGGCAGCCGATGGAAGTCCCTCACTGCCTCCTTTCCTGGGCAGCTCCAAACCAGCAGCCAGGTCTGCAGTACCTTCCCTGCTGTAGGTTTCATCTCCCTGAGAACCTTGACCAGCGGCTGCCACAGCAGAACTGGGTGTAACTGGTGAACCCAGACACACTGGTTTGCATGGAGTGCTTGCAGATGCAGCCTCTGGATCCTCATCAATGTCCATCCTGCTGAGCTGTAAGGACAGATCCAGTGCACTCGTCTCCAAGTCAGATTTCTCCAGGTCTGGCTCACACACCTCGCTGGAAACGGCACCAGCCTGGGCATGCAGCTCCAGACTGTCAGTCCCCTTCACTTTCATTACCACCACATTACACAATTTGCCATAGAAACTGAATGCCAGGAGATTTTCTGGTAAAACAACTTTCCCATCTGTGAGAGAATTGAAAAGAAAAAAAAAAGAAAAGGAGAAAGTTGATAAAAGTAATTGGTGGCAATAATTTTAAGACAGCCTTTACAGTAAATGTAAAGAGTGCTATAAATTAACACCACAGAAGGTAGTTACATAATTTACATGATCCTTTTATACATAAGAAGACTTTACTGGATAAACATTTGTCATCGTACATAAACTCTTGTACTAAGCCCACCATTACTTGAGTGTTCTGAACTCCACACAGTGTGCACAGCAGGATTACAGAATTAATACTGTATTTGCTGTGTGCCCCATAGGTTCACACTATTTCATATTCAGCCTAAGCCTTGATCTACAGAAGGTAAAGTTTTATCTCTGTGTTGGCAGAGAGAGATCTGGAAATGTGATCTGAATGTACCCTACGGGCACAAAAAAGCAGTAATGTAAACAGGAGTTATTATTTCCAGCCAAACTCACAAATCTGGAATCCAGTTTGTACTTCCTGCTTCTTAGCTTGCCAGCACTGTTATTATATATCCCTAAACCAGAAGGTTATTACTGAGAAATTAAAACTTTGAATTCCAATACCTTGAAAAACACACTGGTTTTATTTTTTCCTTACTTACAGACACTTGCTACCCAATGAAAAGTAATTTTGTTTATTTATTATCAATACACTAAAGATTCAGAGCATGGGATTTCACACCAGTACTGATCCCTTATCTTGTTCTTAATGCATAGTATCGTTCTTTTTTTCTTCACAACACAAGACAGCCCCAAAGTCCATCAGCCAGGAAGCCAACAATGACAGCTCAACAACAGTATCTTGAAACAGCCGTAGGTACAAAAGAAAGAAAGAGCACGATTAAGACAAGTTATATATTTGAATCATAGTAATATGATTTAGCCCAAAGAAGATCCCTGTGAGAAGAATAATCCCTTCTATTTTGGCATAAGCCCTCAATTGAAAACAGAGGAAACTCTCTGCTTTTCTATCCAAAATGTGACCTTCCACTGCACTACAAAAAACTGAACAGTCAAAAGAAGAGCAACAAAATTTATACCTAAGTTTCTCAGCAGACAGACAGACATTTCCTCAGCATTAATATGGGCATCTTTGTCCCTGTGGTAAGAAGAAACAATATTTTTTCAATCACTAACTGCTACAAAAACAAAACGGAGTCTATGCCACCAGGGTAACAGGACAATGAATATCACCAACTTTACACACTGAGATTTAATCCCACAATCAGAAGAGATAAATGAGCTCCTTACAGTCTTTGATTCCAGTAACAACTCGAAAGATATTAGTCACACAGCTAACAAAAGGAGTGTTTATATGGAATTTTGTTCCATTTTTCACACAAGATGCTGCAATAAGCAATAGAGTAAGTTACATTTACAAATCTAGATTATATATTATGAGTCCATTCCACAGGTCAGCCCCTGTAAGCGTCACAGAGGTGAACAGCATCACCAAAAACATTTGAATCAGGCGCAGCAGCTGCAAATAAAATTATGACCAAGAGAGGGAGCTCCAAGCCTAGAAATAAAAGTCCATTTCTCAGTTTCACCGATCAAAAAAGAAACTTGAGGGAAAGAAGCATTCTGCTATCAGAGGGGAGCCCTCAAAATGCCACAGCCTCGCCTGACAAGCAAATACACACTCAATTGCATTGCTGGGGCCTGAGACTGAAGGTTGGTTTTAACTGGAAAATAAATAATGCACACAAGCAAATCCCCAGAGATACAAATTTTCAGAGAACAAATTATACCTGTAAAGCATCTAGAAAAGTAAGAAATTCTAGGACAACAGGATTCCATTTATTCTTCTAATAACTAATCTTATCTGATAGATCGGCTGTAAATTTTCTGTTAACTTAGTACATATCTCACTGTAATTTACTACAGTGGTTTGCAGTAAATCAGTAGGCTTAAAACAAACTCCTGTTTGCATGTGTTCTCTCCTAGAGTCATTCTAGAAAAACCTTAATTTATGTGACTTTTAATTTGGGGGCACACTATGTATAGCATTTCTAGGAAACTGAGTAAAGGATTTGGGCACAAAGTCCTTCTTCAGAAGGAAAATCCTCGCTTTGAAACAGTTTCAAAAAGAATTACAGTTACCACAAGTATTCCAGAAGTTACACACTATGCCTCTGACTCCATTCTTATCACAGGTGCACAGAATATCCAGAGCTGGAGGAGATACACAAGTCTAACTCCTGCACAGGACCACCCAAAATTCAAACCCTATGTCTTTTATAACCAAACTGTTTGTAATAACAGTCAAATATTGTAACATCAATCCAAACTTCCTATAGGACTAAATTAGCTGTAACAAAAAGCTGCAATGACATGATTTTTTCATTTTCTTAGAGAAATTACAGGTGTTGGGAGACTTTTCAAAGTGATTACAAAATAGCTTTATTTAGGAAATAACCATAACCAGATTCTGCATTAACCCAAGTCCTGTCTGTGGAACGTTAGGTCAGTGACAAAGATAAGCAGATCAATAAACAGCTAATTTTTCAAAGCCTTTGTAATTTCAAGACAGCCTTAATCTGCACTTTCTGCTCTCTACCCTTGGTGAATTCAGAGGGGAAAAAAACCAAACCCCTTCTGCGAGAGTTTCCAGTTAAAAAAAACCCAAAACATTCCAATAAGTAAAAGTCACACACATGATAGGTGATGCTTTGAGGGCTCTCCCCAGCCTGTCAGCCCTCCACTGCCCCAGCCATGGCACAACTTCTCACCAGGAGTTCCTCAGGAAGAAGCTTGCAGCACAACCTCTAACGACAACAGTCACAACACAGGCTCCTTCTGGTTCTTTCTAACCTAATATCAACACTATGCAGAGCTCATCCTTGGACTTTACAAGTGACTTAGGAGCTTAAAGAACCCACCTTGACCATGCAGTCACACACACACACACTTGTCAAAAGCCTGGTCTCAGCTTCAGGAGTTGACTGTGCTCAAGACTGGCTAACATCGCTGCCTGTTACTTTCACACAAAAAGAAGAATGTCTTCACACTACCGGCCTTTGTGGCATTGTGCTCTCCTCAACAGCACTAATCCTCCCTCAGCTGAGATCTCCTCACTCTGCAGCTGACCCACTCTGCTGTCCTCACAGGAGGCAGCAGTTAGTCACCAGGTATTAAACTTCAGCCTTCGTCCTTCAAGCATCTGTGGATGCTTAACTTTCAAAGAATTGCACAATACCCTGAGCTGGAAAGGACCCATAAGAATTACCAATTCCAACTCCTGGATCCATACAGCACCACCCAAAAATCAGACAATATGTCTGAGAGCGTTGTCCAAATTTTCCTTGAACTCTGGCAGCTCAGGGCCCTGTTCCATGCCCACCACCCTTTGCTGTAGAACCTCTTTCTAACACTCAACCTGACCCTCTCCTGACACGGCCCCATGCCGTTCCCTTGGATCCTACATACTAATTCCATGCAAGCATGAAAGAAAAATGGTACCTTCTAAGAGTGTGCAGTGCAAAGCAGATGCCTTGCAGTAGGCACATTGGTAGGGGACAAGATATTTCATACCTCATCTTTACAGCAACTTCCTCTGCTTGGATGACCGCACCGGTCACGGGCTGCACGGTGACGGCATCACCCACTCTGACTCTCAGGCTCTTCTGTATGGTGTCACTCAGCCCAATCTTCCCACCTGGGAAGCCTGGAGTGGGCCAGGCAGTGCAGACCTGGAGGAATCATAGAATCATTAAGGTTGGAAAAGATTACTAAGATCATCTAGTGCAACCATCCACCTACCACCAATATTGCCCACTAAACCATGTCCCTCAGCGCCACATCTACAGGTTTCTTGAACACCTCCAGGGACAGTGACTCCACCACCTCCCTTGCCTGTGCAAGTACATCACCAGTCTTTCAGAGGTTTTTCCTAATGTCCAATCCGAACCTCCCCTGGTGCAACCTGAAGCCATCACCTCTCATCCTATCACTGTTAACAAGGTGAAGAGACTGATGCTAATTAACACCTTGCCACAATCTCCTGACAGGCAGTTGTAGAGAGCCATAAGGTCTCCTCAGAGCCTCCTCTTCTCCAGACTGAACAACCGCAGCTCCCTCAGCCTTAAGTGTAAGACTTGTGCTCCAGACCCTTCACAGCTCTGTTGCCCTTCTCTGGACAGACCATAGGGCATGGATGTCTTTCATGGATGTCTTTTGTTAGGGTCCCAAAAGTGAACACAGTAACCGAGATATGGCCTCATCAGTGACAAGTACAAGGAGACAACCATCTCCCCAGTCCTGCTGGCAACGCTACTTCTGGTAGAAGCCAGGATGCCATTTAAAGCAGGTTCAAAGCAAACAGCTGTCCGTGGCCCCACATTCAGTCCTCCAAAGTAAGCAATATTAATAAAACCAGGGGCTGAGGAAGAAGGAGGATTAGGTTGCAGCCTGGTTCCACGGAGGGCTAAGGTACGAGCAGCACCGAGTTTCGCAGTGGACGGGAACGCGAGGGGCTGCCCAAAGGAGGAGCAGAGTATGGAGGGGCCGGGGCCTCACCCACCTCCTGCCTTCCTCCCGCCGCCGTGAGCAGCACCGGGCGACCGATGCAGATGTTGGCGGCCTTCATGCCGTTCAGAGACAGCTGCGCCAGGGCTCTCCGGAACATCTTGGGGATTTTGTCATCTTCTGAAAGGTTCAGGAGAAGCACATCACCGCTCCGCACGCGGGACACGCGCCGCACGCCCCGCTCTCCCACACAAGCACGCCCGCAGGCCGCGCCTCGGCAGCACGGGCCGCGCACAGACGGAGCGCGTTCCCGCGGCACCGAAGGCCGGGCGAGCGGCCGGGCCCTCGCGCCGTTTACCGAGCAGACCTCGCGTCTGCGGCGGCGAAAGGCCGTCGGTGCCGACGCCGCCTCGGGGCGGCAGATCCCGGCCTCGGGGCCGCTCCCGCCGTCCGGGTCCCGTACCTGCCCGTACCGCCTCGGCGACGCCCAGCAGCGCCGGCCCGCCCTCGGCCCCGCCGGCCAGCGGGGAGCTCCCGCCCGGAACCGGCCGTCCCCTGCTCCTTCGCCGGGCGGCCATGCTGCCCGCCGGCCGCCGCGCGGCGCTTCCGGAGGCGGAGGCCGGCACCGCCCCCGGGGCGGCCGCTTCCCGCCGCGCCATGGCGGGACCGGCGCTGTGGCGGGCGCTGCGCGGGGCGCGGGGCCGGGGTCCGGCGGCGGCGGGGGGGAGCTGGGGCTGGGGCGGGCCGCGGCCTCGGCCGGACAAGTACGGCGGGGTGAGCGTGGAGCTGGCCGAGCTGCGCCGGCCTCGCCGCCGGGAGCGGGCCGCCTTCGGGCGCTGGCTGCGGGGCAAGTGGCGGGCGCGGGGCCGGCGCAGCCGGGCGGGCGGGGAGGTGGGTGCGCGCGGCTGGGCGAGAGCGGCGCCGTGCCGCCGGTAAGCTGACGCCGCGTACAGCGTGGTGCTGCTTTGCCTCCCCCTGACACGTGTTTATTAGGCCCGTGAGCGTCGGGCCCGAGCGCAGGCGTCCCCGCAGAAACCCTCCCCTGTGCCCCGCTGGAAGCCGGCCGGGTGGCGGTCTGTCCTGAACTTCGTGTCTCCAGGGCTGCGCCCTGACAGGCGACCCCGCGTTTCTCTTCCAGCCTCGGTCGCCCAGTGGCAGCAGGAAGGCCGGGTCGCCGTCTGGCTCCACGTTCCCATCCTCCGGAGCGGGCTGGCGGCCGTGGCCGCGTCGCAGGGCTTTGACTTCCATCACGCGGAGTCGGGCTCGGCCACCCTGACGCGGTGGCTGGGCGAGGGGCCCAGCAGGCTGCCCGCCTTCGCCAGCCACCAGCTGGGAGTCGCAGGTGAGTGGCACGGAGCTGCCGCGGGAAGGCCGGCAGCAAGCGTGGGAATAGCAGTAGGAACGTGGGGTCGCTCCACCGAGTGAAGCTGTTCTGCCCCGAGTGCGTCTGTGCAACCGCGCGCTTTGCTAAAAGCAGGCCAGCGCACAGAGGGGTTTCTCAATCTTCTGATTTCTGCAGCCATTCCATTTGAGGAAAGTCTGTGCACGGGGCAGACGGAAGCGGCAGTGATTGCTAAGGAGCTGGCGCAGCCGTTGGCTACAAGTGTCACAGTCCAGAAGCCGCTCTGACGTGTCTGTGTAACAGGGCTATGCCCCAAGCACCTGGACAGTACCTAGGCCCATCCAGACCTCCCCCAGCCACTGCTGGAAAGGTTGCTCTAAAAAGCAAGGAAACTCAGGAACAAGAAGGCGGTGTCCCGTTTCTTACACATCACAGTGCAAGGAACTAATCGTGAGCCAAAACCACAGTCGGCTTGAACTCAGTCTCATCAAGTGTGCACACTTTTGCCTTCCCTCTCAGCAGTCATCCACAGACACACGACTGCCAGACACATCGCTCAGCAATTTCTTGTAGGCTGGTGTCGGCTCAGGCCCTGCTGGCCTGGTGCAGGCTGTGGCATGTGGCAAGCATGGCAGAGGGCAGCACATCTCCCCCTGAATGTCCGCACTTTTTCGGCCTTGGCTGCGAGGGGCCGAGTGACCCGTCCTGCTTTGACAGGAGCTGGGCTGTTGGCAACAGAAGGTCAGGTTCGAAGTGAGTGTTCGAAAAGCAATGCCTTCAATTACCAAACTGTGCTGTGGTCAATGGGAGCTTGCAGCTACAAAGCCAGCAGAGGGCAGCGTGGAAGCTGAAGGCAGGCTGGGTTTTTCAATGGACATGTTAGAGCATGTTTTCCTGATGGACGAAAATCTCACCATTAAAATATGTGGCATTAAACTCGAGTTAAGATAATGCATTCTCCTAAAAAAAAGCACCGTGTTAATCCTTTTATTTCTTGCATTTTTGAGGAAATATGACTAACTGAAAGGGGATTTTTCTGCAGTAGGTTGTGCATAGCTGAACGTGCTGCCTAAAAGAAAATCGTGCAGTGGGAGTGTTGTGGCCCCAGTGGTTGTTAGGAAGGGCTCACTGTAAGAAAAGTCGATTTAGAAAAATTATAGCAGGAAAGCCTGCACTTTCAAAATATCATTTGTTATTGTGTTTTTGATCATTTCAGTTACATTCTGTGAAAATAGAAAACAAAATCTCTGAGAAAAGAAGCAGTTTAATAAATGGGGAGATACGGATTTCATAATTTTTGCACATATATAAATATTACACAACAGATAACGTATATGCTGTGCTACTGCTTTTCAAATCTGTCCATTCTTATTCATGGCTGGAAATCCTTTTAATGGATGAAGACCTCAGAAAGGCATTTGGTGAAGTAAGCTGACATTTCTGCATATGAAAGCAATCACTGCAATATTTTTTTCCTGTTTTATGCACCATCAGTGGACGTGGAATACACTGCAGGAGCGCACCAAGCAGTGTGGTCACCACCTGGCATGTGTTTAACCTGTTACCTTTCTACCTCATCAAACAGGTCCTGGGTAGCAGAAGCACTCTGTTCTATTTTTAACTCATTTTATTCTAATACCAAAATATTTAAATATGGTCACACTTTACATCAGCAGTGTGCATGTGCCAGACGCCAGGTGTTTTTATTTCTTGTGCAGAAAAACTCTGTGTCTTAGAATAATCACTTAGGGACATGGTTTAATGGGCATGGTGGTGATGGGCTGATGGTTGACTGGATGCTCTTAGTGGTCTTTTCCAACCTTCATAACTCTATGATAGCTTCTGCAGTAAGGAGAAACAAACTTGCTGCTGAGAGTCCTCATCTCAGCACTGTGGCCAGCCAGCTGAAGACAAGACTTTGTCCCTTGAGCATTCTGGAGATAAACAGCAGAGCCTGCACTGCCAAGCAGACCAGCAGCTGTTGCTGTACTGTCTGTGGCTTCCTGTGTGGTGAACACCGCACATCCAGGGCTGCTGCCTTACCCTTAGCCAGCCAAGGGATGACAAAGGTGTGAATAAGCAAGGTCAGGCCATATTGGCCAGACTAGATCAGAGTCGCCAAGAAGAGAAAGTAGCAAATGTTACTCATAGGGCTTGGCCATTATTGTTTAGAAATAGTGGAATATGTGATGCATCTCCCGGCTAAGTTACTGCATCCGTTCGTAGGCGGCACGGTTTTCCAAATATGTAAGGGGCAGGAAAGCTTCTGGTGAATGAAATGATCGAGGCATTTTTGAAAAGCACTTGGGAAGTTCTCCATCCAGAAAGTAACATATTTGTAAATATGCCCCATAACAATGGCATAAGAAGAGAAGTTGAGAAGGAAGAGTAAAACGAAAGGAAGAAGCTTTTACTTAAGGAACTGTGTAGAGTGAGCCACTGCACGAAGGTCAGCCTGCTGGGAGGATGCCTTATGTAGTCATGGCTGTCCATGCAATCACAAGTGATTTAAAAGAAGGCACCAGGCTGTTTACAAATCGATAACTGCTGCTGCTTGGTGATGTTTATAAAGCAAGCCCTCAGGGGTGCTTGCCAGACAATGGTCTGCTGTTATGAACATTTTGCACATGCTTACATCAATTGTAAATAAAACTGCCAGGGGGAAGGTATTTTTTCCCTCCATTAGGCATTATCTGGAGTTGTCTCAGGGCTTTTAAACGTAAGATTCTTCCCTACCAACAAAAAGCAGTCAAAAGAAAGCAGTGTTGTACTAGTGACTGCCTGGGCAGTCTCAAGCATCAACCTTTCTGGAAAGTCATCCTGGGGCTGGATGATTTAAAGAGTGGAAGTTCTTAAAACCATGGGTCTGAGCCGATGGGCAGAGCCTGGCCTCACTGATGCTGAGCAGGTGCGGCCTAGTGAGCTGCAGCAGGGGATTCTCAATTTTGCTTGAGAAAACATTACCAGAGTGCAAAGCCTATCAGTGCTATTTCTTACTTCTTGCTTTGCATTTAAGTTTCATCTGTCAGAGATTCTGGATATCTCAGAGAATTTTATGGCCAGAAACTACATTCACAGGCATCAGTTTCTGGGGAAAAAAGCAGAGTTCTTTCTGTCTGGTTCATGCTGCAGTATCCTGTCTTCAGCAGTCCAACTGGGCCTCAGTAAACCATCAGGCTAAAAAAGGCTTTTCTAGAAAATAATCCCCACAATCACAGCATGTATCAAAAACTCCCACTTCCCTTTTTTCCCCTCTTTTGATCAGTACAGTACTTGAACCTGGGCATTGCTAAATATTTACAAGAGAAATGAGATCATAGTCATAAATCATGGGAAGCAGATTCGTGACTACCCTCTTAAAGCACATCCTTTGACATAGCTTGAAGGAGAATTAGTATTTCATTTTTTAAGTATTCCTCCTACACATAATTCTGCCATGTATTCTTTAAAAAAGAATAAAAAAGAATGCTGGACACTCATGTTTTAATGATTCCCTTCTGTGGAAATGTTTCTCCATGGCATTTTAAATGTGTATATCATCACAGAGCTATCCATATATTCTTCCTCTTGCTGTACAGTGGCAGAAGCACTTTTTTTTTAAATCATTACCCACTAATTTTAAACCCATGCATGACTGATGTGGAAAAGAACCTGGTAAGCTGCACCACTGTACTCATTCTGCTCACCACAGCCACAGCTTTAAAATCGGACAGAATTCCTGTTTTAAAGGGAAGACATTTTTACACTATGACTAATGAGAGTGACATGATGCTTAGACATGCAAGTACTTGGGTTTTAAAAAGTAGGAAAACTCACTCTGTGGGAGAAATTCCTGGGCTCAGCATGAGGATGCACGGAAAAGCTGAATTTCTCATTCATACATTCTAATAGATGTAGTTCTTTAAATTAAGTGAAAGCATCATTTTTCCACTTAGGAGTAATGGATTTTGATTAACAAGTTAATCAGAGGCTGTGCACTGTCATCAGCTGTTATATGGGCAGTGCAGTATGAGTCCGTTCAGTTGCTGGAATTTTTTCCTTAGCAGTACAGTCAGCCCCCCGAGTATTAAAATTTGAGTGTTATCAGCCAGAAAACACACAAGTCTTCATTGCAGCAAGCAGTTTTGTCATGAATTTCACTAGAGAAAAATTCTTGCCCATCACGGCTATTTGAACAAAATCAAGGGGAAAAAAAAATCTCTTATTTCAGTAAGATTATGTATTCCTGCTGAAGAAAGCAGCATTGCTGGGTTATCTGTAGACATTCTGATCTTACATTCTTTACTTCTGATAATGATCATTAGGGTTTGTCACACTATATCAAAACATGCTGAATTGTTCAATATTGTCTCTCCAATAGGTGCTGTATTGGATGAAAACAATGGAAAGGTGCTGGTTGTACAAGACAGAAATAAGGTAAGTTTGCAACAAGGTTGTAAAATAGAGAAGTTCATTTAGATTTAAATGGTTTCTCCTTTCATCAAATTCATTATGGTGAATGATGCCAGCTAAGGTCCACAAGCATGAAGACAGGTATGTGGATACATGCTCATTTATATGGCATTTGTGTTTATCTTACTTGAGGATTTTTAATATTCATTAATAGTGCATTAGATTAAGGTAGAAAAAGGACAAGGTTAGGTAATATAGTTGTTTACTACTAAAAAGCAACAGTATAGGTATTCCAGGCACTAGCATACCTGTACAAAAGAATACCTACTTCTTCCTTGATGAGCATTTGGTTTGCAGTTCCCAGTACTATGAAAATGCACCAGATTGCTGGCTTTGTCCTTCCTCTGCCACACCACATAGGTTAAACCCATTCTGTTTCTTGGTTTCATCACCCCGTATCCTTTCTGCTTCATGGTTTATGTTTCTCCTGTAACTGATCCAGGAATACCTGATCTTGTGTTTGGATCCATGCAGACCTATAGAAAACACTCATGGCTTAAAGCAGATTTTGGGAGACTGTGATTTTGCTTGGGTTTCTGAAATTCCAGTCATATCTGTGGGATTAAATAAGCAATAACGTGGTTGGCCATGACCTGTAGACCACCTGTGTAAAGCAGGTGTAAAGATCATGAATTTCTCACAAACCAAAGCGCTTGACCTTGCTGCAGAGGATGCCAAACCAGAGAGCATTAGTGTGGTGGGGCTGGGTTATGTGATGTGGCTTGAGGTAACCGTCACTGCAAATGTCTTCTAGCAACTATCAAGCTAACCTAGGTTTTAACACGGAAGTGCATAAAGCTCATTAGCTCATTTGTAGCTGCCTCTGCTAGTCTGTTTAAAATACATTTAGTTTACACTGCTTTGAGCAGACGAAAGAGCTTTCACAAATGAAGTAAGCATCTCTAGGACACTGAGGTTATTTGCATTTTAACATGGAAAAAAAAAGTCAAAATCTCTACATGCTAACTGAAGTACACAGGGTTGCATCATCTTTATAGTTCAATCTAAGCCAGAATCTCACTGGCTATATTGTTCTGCTTTTCCTGAAATAACTACTAAGGAATTTTTCTTGGAAACCAAGTTAACCATCACTTTACGGTAACACAACACAGTTAATGAAAATGTGTTTTCATAGGCAGATCCATTCATTGAATTTACAGTGCAAGAGTTGGTAGGAAGAAAAGCATCCTTTTCTTGTTCCCTATAGATTGCTGATTGTATATTTTTACTTACTGTAAAGTAAAATTTCAAGGACTTCTCTACAACAAGATCTTCAGGCTTTCATTCAATAATTACCAATTAAAGCATAAACACAGTATGCAAGGCATAGGTTCCAGAAATGGTTCTAACCCCAGAAAGCCTCTAAGAAAAGAACAGTACATAATACAAGTACTGCATTTGTTTTTCCTTAAAATTTCTGTGCATGTAACAGTGAGAAATCACATGCTGACCTTTCATTAAGTACCTTAAATAAAGAGACCTCAAAGTGTAAAAATGGAAGCTTTCTGCGACTTTGAAGGAAGCAGTAGCTTCCTAAGCCCATGGGACAAAGGAATTTTAAGATTTAACTTCCTAACACTGAGTTATTGTTAAAGCTCAACCACAGCCATTTTAAGTGCAAATATCTCTGACCAGTTTTACAGTGAGACAACAGATATTCTGTTCAGGTTTAACATCCAATTCTATACTCACCAGAACTTGCTTCCTTACCCTCTGGTCCTTGAATGTAACAGGACCAAGCACGGCACCACACTTTCTTTCCTCTGTCTCCATCTGAAAGGTGGGATGACATTCCAGGTCAGCTATTTCTGCTTACCCTTGTAGAACAAAGCTGTTACTACAGTGGGTGAGCTGAAAGGAGAAAAGTGATTGTTTCTGTCTCTTCTCCTTACAGCTCATTTTTATTGAGCGGACAAAATTAAGTATAAAAACTGAGGTGTGTGAATACCCATACAGTTCTTGTGCAGCAAGCAGTTATCTCAGTGCAAGCAAATTGGCTCAGACAGTGATTTGCCAATGCCAGTCCTACCACTCCTCTCTCCTCCTTCCTCCCAGATGAACCATTTCCCTGAAATGGGTAATTACAGATTATGGTCTGGAAGGTTTAGAAATTTTAAGTTTATATGCAGCTTTGTAATAGAATTTTGTGGATTTTTAAGAGCTGTTTGGGTTTCATCATGAAAGGACAATTCCACTGCATACACAGCAAGATTTCCAGGATCTGAAAGCAAATCTTAAAGCCAGCAAATCTATGTACTTTCCATCTGCACTATTTTTAATCTATTACTCTCAATTCCTATCCAAGCCCTTTATGAGCGCCCAGAAAAACATTTTCCAATGTAATCAGTGGGGCTTAAAATCCCTGGAAAGTTGCTCATAGGTGAAAAGCCAACTTTTTTTTCTTTTTTTTTTTTTTTTTTTTTTTTTTTTTGCTAGCATACATTTTTTTTTGCATTAGTTTCTAGTTAAGGTTAACTTCTTCCTATATACATATTTATTAAGGAATAAAAAGTGGTATGTGAAGGTAAAAACCTGCAGATCTTTGTGCATTTGCCAGAGGTGTAGGAACTAGGACTTCGTAACCAGTATCGATTACAGCACCACATCTGCAGTTCACATTCTGTTTTAAGTACTGAACTTTATTGGAATTCTATAAATGCTTCTTTACATATATCACACACACGGCTTCGATTTTGGTACTCCATAAAAACAAGTGACAAGGTGCACAAAATGGTTATTACAGACACACACAGTCATCTTAAAGCCAGTGCAGTATAGAACAGTACTAAAATCATACCTGTTTATAGGATTAAACATATATACATTTTTTTAAAAGCCAAAAACATGGAAGTGGGATACATTAGTGATTAAATATAAGAGTATATAGTCTGTAGCAGCTTTTTAAAATATTCAACTACTATCTAGTTATCTAGCAGCAACGTTGTCTAATGATTGTTAGACAGTTTGTTTCAATCAGTAGATGTTTTGTTCCAATATTTCATACAGACTGTAGATGTCTCTGATCATCACATTAGCAAGAACAAAATAGTTTCTACTTAAATCTTTACTGACATTTGTAAAAGTAATTACAATACCTCAACTTCACATGTGTTTATTTGTCACTTTCATATTCCAGAGTACAAAATAGGCTGCATACTTCATTAATATTTTTTTCTCCGATGCAGACCGTAAATGGATGGAAATTCCCAGGAGGTCTGTCCAATCCTGGCGAAGACATTGGTAAGTTCAACAGTAACAGGTCAGACATCAATGGAACTACAAAGGCATTAACACTGAAATACATAGTGACCCACATCACTCCCTGTGACTGCTCACTTCTTTGAAATAATGGCTAATGGATTAAGTGACACAACCTTAGAACATGAATGTTAATAGGGTAAGATCATATTGAGGGCAGGGAAGCTTTATAACATCTGCATTGTTGCACAAGTTCTCATAAGTAAGTACTTAAAGCCAACTTCTGTAGATTTGTTGGGTATGTTGCAGTAAACTAAGAAGCACAGAGGACTTAAATAATCAGCAGATAACAAAACATAAAACTGAAATAGCAAGCTCACACTGCAATCCAGAGCAGGGAGCTCAGAGATGTATGGGGCAAAAATCTAAAGTTTCCAGCTTTCAATATTTATGTGCAAAACAGCAGTAAATACACATGCTTCCTTCCACCCTCATCCATTGATTTGCTTACACTAAGAGCTCTTGGCACAGGACCAGCGTAAATGCAGTTCCTGATGTTTGGGGCCACCTACTTTGAGGTGACATAAGGCACTTCTGCATTAGAAAATAATCCTGTTTTGAGGACAGCCATTTCTACCTAGCATAGCACAGATGATGCTGAACACAGCTGCTGCACTTATGTTCAAAAGTGAATGAATAAGGGTGTGTATGAAAAGAGAGAAGATTGTGCTTTTGTCCTTGTATTTCACCTCCTGAAACTACAATCCACAGACTGGTTAAATCTTAAATTACACTGCAGTTATTAGGTAGGTCTTAGTTTCAAAAGGTAAACTCACAGTTATTTAGCCCCACATCTGTCTTCAGATAGGAATATATTCTTCTAATAAGTGAAGTTTGACAAAAACGCTGCCCAGAGCAACGCAGAAGCTCTACAAACAGTACTGACATCTTAAAATCTGTTTCACACCTTAGCAGTGATCCTACAGCAATGTGTGGAAAGCTTGTATTCCAATCCATTACTTCAACACATGGAAAAAGTTGACTTGTAGTTTTTGTAACTCTGAAATCACATTTCAACTGCATCGTCAAACACAGTGATAGAAATCAAAATGATTTGTTCAACACGGCAAATACATACAACACAATGGAATGGTTTCATGCTTTCAAAAGAACCCACAGCACTGTGTTTTTTGCCTAGCCAGACACCCTTGCACTTAGAGTGAGAGAGAGGATCTGGGCCAAGAGATACCAAAGGAGCTTTTGTAGTGAGGGAAGAGAGTAACTAGAACGAGAGATGGCTTCACTAGGGCAATTCTGAGTACCAGCAGCCATCCCTCAAGTAACAGGTGAGATTATGGATGGAGCCTGGATGTAAATATTAAGAAGGACCAGGAAGAAACAAATCACTCACAGCTCCCCTCCTACCTCTGCTTAACAATATCATAAGAAACGCTATGATTCTGTGCATCACATTTCAATATTACCAAAGAGATAAATTAGTAATGCATAAAATAAGAAGTCTAATTTTTTACTTTTTCCATCACTTACGTGAAATCTTACAAACCCGCAGTCATCCAAGAGTCCAAATTTTAAGTGCTGTTACAATGCTTGAAAATCCTGTGATTATTGAAGCAACAAAATATATGACTGCTACCTTTAATGAGCACAAACTGATTTGCATAAGTAATCTGAATAAATTCATAATGGAGATTATGCAAATAGAAAAATCTGTGCACTTTACTTATTTCTGAGATTCAAGCCCTGTTTCTTCTAGTTTAACTGTCATATTTAAAATACATACATTTAATTAAAATAGAAAAAGAAAAAGGCACTTGATCTAAAATAAAAGCTCAAAGCTTGAATGAAATCTCCGTTCAGTTTTTCTAACCACAGCCTGCCTTGGAATTTTGCCCAATCTCAGTTGTTTACCTTCTTTGACCGTTTCTGTGCAATACATCCTTTGCTTAATAATAAAAATCACTTGCCCTAGGGAGTTTGCTTTGCAACCACTTTTAAACCAGAGGACTACAAGGGCCACCCTGGGCTGTATATACAGTGCAGTCTCCCTAAGCACTAGTAATGGTAAATGAGTATCCTTCCCCATAGCCAGCTGCCTTGTAATTAAAACTGCAGTGAAAGTTACAAACGCAAATGTTGTGCAGGCACTAGGTATTAATGGGTTTCCAATCCCACAAAGGCCTCTATATATTTGATGTTTACTTTATGTGGAACATTACACTGCAAGATAGAAGACAAGTTTCAAAACTACACCCTGGAGACAGTATTATGGAAAGTTTCTTTCATCTTTTTGTAGTATATGCAAAATAAAGGTAGTTTGCAGTTAGTTTTGTTCAAGGACCAAAGAGTTAGCTTGTCCTTGTGTAGAATAGCAAACAGGCTCTGCGTTTTGAAAAGCTTGCTAAGCAGAACAGAAGATGTTTGTTCTGGGATCAAAAGGTTTAAAGAGTGTATGTTCTTGTATATATATATCTTGTATATATTGAATTGCTCTCTTTGCCAAGGCGACACGGCAGTTCGAGAGGTTTTTGAAGAGACTGGCATCAAGTCAGAGTTCAAGTCCATCCTAAGCATTAGACAGCAACACAAACACCCTGGAGCCTTTGGGAAGTCAGACATGTACATCATCTGTCGCCTGCAGCCCTCCTCCTTCACCATCAACTTCTGCCAGCAGGAATGCTTGCGGTGTGAGTGGATGGACCTCGACGAGCTTGCCAGGACAAAACATGCTACTCCCATCACGAGCAATGTCGCTAAGCTGTTACTTTATGGATACCGGGAAGGGTTTGATAAAATTGATATAACCATGAGAGAGTTTCCAGCTGTTTACACAGGCCTCTTCTACAAACTATACCATAGGGAGCTACCTGAATCCTACAGAAACATTACATGATAGCAACAAATTTCACAAATTATTATATTAATAATTTACAATTTTTATTTAGAGTTACTTAGACCATATTGAAATTATTTGTGGACTTCTTATTTTGGGGAAGAAGAAAAAAAATCACTTTATTCTCTAATAAGCTACAGATACATAAATTATTTTAAATGGCAAGTTTTCCTGTTAGCGTGCATCAGATTAGTTTCCCTTTACTCCATAAAGTGAATATAAAGTAAATAAAATAGCTCTATAGAAATCTCTAGCAGAAAATAGAGGTGTTACTGATCCTGAAAATAGATTCTCTACGTAATTTTACCTCCACACACACACTGGCACAATAGGTTTACAGAGTATATGAAGACAGGAAGAAACATTCATGTTTTAATCTTTCTGCAAAAGTAGCTGATAGCAGCAAATAACTGCTTCTATTTTTACTAGTTTGGTGAGGAGTAAGAAACTCTGCCTCTTAAAGTGTAGTGTGGCATATGTTCAGAACCCACCATGCAGATCAGCTTTTAGCAGACATGGGAAGAAAAAGGATAGCTTTCTGTCCAGGTCCAGTTTTTGGTCCGGGCTTGTACTGTCCAGTTCTTTTCAGTGCCACATACCAATCAGAGTACTTCCGTGACCGGTAAGTGTTATAGTTATTAGATTCCAAACGTTCAAAAAAGAAACATTCTTCTGTTGCACATTTCTAAAAGAGAAAAAGAAAGGGATTATTGATATTTCCTCACAACCCAGCAGTTGATCTGATTTACAGGACTAATTTACCACAATATTCAGATTTAAGAAATTTGTATGAAATGTTTTGTGCTTAAAGAAAAATACAATTACTGTTAATGTACTGTTTAAAACACCCATAAAAATAATTTTTAACTATGATTCACTAATTGTCTTTAATAAAGACAAAGCAGGTTCTATCTTGTTTTTGCTATGTAATTCTTTCTGTCTGAAATATAGTCAAGTGCAAGAAGAGCCATGTCTATCAGCACTGATTGACAGATCCCAACTCCCAGGTTGTGCATGTTCATATTCACAGTATTTTCCTACAGTCACCAGAGGGAAGATGCTCAGCTGCACTAAGCCACTCAAAAGGTTGAACCTGCTTTAACCAACAGTGTGATGCAGTTCAATCCACACATCTCTGCGCTCAGTGGAAACCAATGCATCCCAAGAGTGACCATGCTGAAGAGAAAGTATCTTAATTTTCTCATGATTCCATTCAATCAGTGAGATCATTTAAGAAAAATTCTTGTAATGGATAATGATCACAAGTTTCCTTGAATGCCAATTATGTCCCAGTGGAAATAAAACCTGGCTAATTTAACTGTCTGATACGTAGAGCTATTGACAGCCAAGAGAAAGCAGGAAAGTTTAATCTCTGTTTAACTGCAGTTATCCCATAGCATATTCACAACAAGAAAAAAAAAAAAAAGATTATCCCTGTCAATCAATAATATTGTTCCAATAGCGTAAACAGTGCCAAATTTGCCTGCAGAACCTACACTTTACACAACAGTAATACCCTCAAATAAAAAGGTGGATGAAGTTCACCACTGCAATTAACTTACTGGGGGAGGGAGAGCACGGTTATACACGTTTACCCTGCAAAAGAGTTTGGGATGGCTGGAGGAAGAAGGAAACATGCAAAAACTTGGAGAGAAAACAGGAGATGCGAGGAAATTTCCTATATGAGCGAGCAACTCTTAGCTACAGTCTTCTGGTAATATTCATTAACAGATAAAGTAGCCAAACTAAACTATTTCAGACTAAAGAAAAGTGAGCTTGAAATAACCAGACTTCACATAGAACGCACAGAAACATACAAGAAGAGTTCACATGCCCAGTTTCTGCAGCTACAAGCAATTAAGTCATTCAAATGCAGTTTATAATAAAGCAATCCATCTCCAAACATATGTCTTCAAGTCTTGGCAATAAAAAATACAGCTCCTCCACTTCAACCATTTTCAGAGAGGAGTTTTGGTTTCTAAGGAAAAAAACTTGGAAAAAAAACACTTATAATTAATTTATCATTTTTATAAATGACTAATGTTTTTATATTTGACCAAATGAATTTTCATATGATTTATATTTTAAATAATCATTCTGAAGAGTGATTATACTGTAATGGCTTTCAGTGTAGCAGTGGGAAACAGATGCATTAACCATCTCAGGCCCCAATGATTCAAGTATGAAATGGATTACAGGCCTTAATAAGACAAAAATAACACAAGAAAGAACAGCGTTTGAGAATGGAACAGAACTTGGAGTGTAGGTTAGTATAGTGCAGCTGCCCTAAGTGGAAACTGAAGCCCTGTGCCAGGCTCAGCCTCAGCTGCCACCAGCATGGAAAACCACCACGGTGAACCAAAGCAGGCACCAATGGTCTGGATACAAGTGAAAGGCAACTTGTCACAAAAGCAACACAATCACAGTTCAAAGAAACACATTCCTCCTATTAGGCTTCCTCATATTTTTCATGTTTACAAAGAAAAATAGATTAAACTCCCCAAACACATATTTGTGCAACTCGTGGGTGTGATAAAAATAACCAAAAATTGGGAATAGAACAATAAAAAAATAAGAAAACCTATTATTATTATTATTTTTTAAGTTGATAAAGATTACTTAGAAAGGTGCTGCATGGTTTGCTCTGAACACTGAAGTCCTCATTTTTGCACAAAGCTTACCTGGTAAATAGTCTCATGCCACAGTTCTAATCCCTGACATAGAAAAATGTCCCTTCAGTCTGGCAGAGCCTGCCTGATCACAGCTAAACCACATCAACGTGACGGGGCTGTACACTAGGAAAGTCAGTCAAAAACACAGTTCTTCCTTTCACAGGAAATTTTGAGACATTTCTTCATAAAATGAAATAATCAGAAACATTTGATTCCATAAAGTGAAAATACTTAATCAGTGTAATTAAATGAAACTAGAAAGTCAAAATAAAACATGGTAGCCATATTGGAAGTGAAATGTTTTGATTTTGCCATTATAAATCTGATGGAGTTCTGAAAAAATATTTCTGAGGAAATATTCTTGGTTAAAACAGCATTTTCCAAGGAAGGCTTTAGATTAGCTAGTATCAATCACCAGCCATCTCCTCCACCAACCAGACCAGTAAGCACCACCACTCTCCCACAACAATGGAATCTGTGGGCAAACAGAGGGTACACAGCAGCATAATGCAAAGCCACATCTAGATTTCAAGACAGGAATGCAGCCCACCACGCAAAGCACCACTGTAAGAAGCAAGATACTGGCTAAGCAATAAGTCATTTTGCAAAAATCAAACTAGGCACAAACCACAAAGACACAAAGAACCCAAGGCTGAATGATGATTTTCAAATGGATTTGTGAAGCTGATAGTATGTTTATCAAACATTAAAAATTGAACTTGATACTGGAAAGTAATGAGAAAGAAGAAAGAAGACAGACATTATGAAGTGTTTACATAAGACGAGCACGCCTACCCAATGTCATAAGGGCTATAAGCCTTAAAATGTTTGTTTCACATAGCAGAAACCTGGCTCGCACAACAAAGCAAGAGGCAAGCACAGATAGGAGAGCCTGCAATTACAGAAGAGCCAAACATACCCAGGACAAAGGATAAACTATGTAAAGTGATGCTCAATTTAGCGTGCATCCGTGCAATACCAAAGAGATTCTTAATTGTGATATCTCAAAAAAACAGGTCCTGAAAGATGGGCATGCTGTTAGCTGTTGAATCACTTGGCAACGTATCAATGCCTATGAACAAAACTGAACAGGGAAGGAACATAGGCTTAAGCTGGTTTACTGGTGACTAAGAAGGTGATCAGACAAGGAAAAAATACAAAAAAATAAAATAAATTGAGAAAATAACCAGCAGTTTCACCATAGAAATTTGTGAAGGCCTCATAATGTTTAGGGATTTAATGTTCTTCCTGGGAACAAATCTATCTTTCAAATTCTGTCATAATTGGAAAGTATGCTACACAAAACTAGTGATGGAGAAGCACAGAATACTGGAATGGAGAATTAAACAGCTGCTTAGAAATTAAAGCTCAACAGTATTTTTAAAGGAATACCCAAAGATCTCAGCAGATACAAATTCATGTGCACTGATGAGATCACTTCAGCACAAAAATTTCCAGAACGCGCTCTTACAAAGCTCCTGCTGAAACAACCCTCCTCAAACTGAAGAAATGCTGGCAATTATGCACAATTCCATGGACGTGTTTATAGGCAGAAAAGAGCAGAGGCACAACTGCCTACTAACTCACAGAAATCCTCCTGGAAAACACAGCTTGTGCCTCAGAGAACAACTGCAGAGATGCAGAAATAGTCATTAGATGTGAAACATGGGCTGGATGAAGAACAAAACCTTCTTAGAGCAAAGTGTTTTCTCCTATGAATAGCAAACCTGAAGGCTTGCAGGAAGCAGTGTTTGCAGCAAACGTGATTCAAGTAAAAGCCATTTCCAAAACTGCTGTGCACAGCTGCAACAGAGGCACATCCTATAAAGAAGGACATGATCAAGATCCACTGTGCAACAGGAGGCTGGAAATCCCAAATACAAACACAGCCAACTGCTCGTAATTTTACAACTGATGCCAAACGTTTACTTTGACCATTCACTGCTGCTTAGGCTAAGGAGGGTAATTTGAACAGGAAGCAGAACGCCAGCACACCAGTACCACAGGAAATTCCCAATTATCCTTAATACAAGAATAGCACAGTAGACTACTATTCACATTTTCTTCAACTAATCTGTCAAAACATCCAAGTAAATAACACTGTAACTTGAAACGGGTTATTTAACTATATTCCCAGGCATAAACAGAACCTGTTTGGAGAAGCAAGAGATGGTGCACTACGTGGCTGAGAAGCACACCAGGGCTCCCTGCACACACAAAGCTGTTGAAATACTCTGTTTGCCTTTGGACTAATTTCACTGAGACTAATTTCACTTTCACTTAGTGACTTCGTAGCCCTTCGCCTGGGCCTTTCACTAGCTGCAGTTCAGCTGAGGTTAGGAATTCATTTTATTATTAACACCTGTTCCCAGTGTTGTTAGTTGGGATACAGAATCCAAATGTGACTATTTTCAGGATACCAAAAGCATCACAGCTAGTTTAAAAATAAAATTCCAGTGGGATGCTCCACAACGGTATTTCATTGGACATAACATTTAAAGATCGTCTGAATTCAAAGTTATGAACATGGACAAAAGATTTTTTTTCTTGCACGGGATGCCCAGAGAGCTATGGAAGCTCCACCCCTGGAGGTGCTCAAGGCCAGGATGGATGGGGCCCTGGGCAGCCTGAGCTGGTAGGGGGCAACCAGCCCGCAGCAGGGGGTTGGGACTAGATGGACTGTGAGGTCCTGTGCAACCCAAGCCATTCTGTGATTCTACAATTTACAGCCTCTATTTAAGATTTAGGCCTTGGAGATTCTGCTGAACAGACTGGCTTCAAAACACAGTTAAAAATTAATGCGAGAGCAATAAAAAAGAGTAGAGTTTAAATTAAAATTAGTGCTAGTGAATTGGTTTTAATTAACTTTTTTTTTTTTTTTTAATTCTATCATTAGATTGACAAAAATGCTTTTCTTGCCAACTCACTAGCTTGGAAGTGTATGTACTCAAAAAAACTTGATTCCCTACAAAAAGGAGAATGAGAAAGTAATATACACAGGCTACTGCCAAAAACATCGAAGTTTTGTACGAGTTGGCTTTACCTTCTACTTTAAAAGGGTCTTTACTGTCACTTATGTGAAAAGAAGCTTAAGAGGAAAAAAAGACACTGTCTATGAGAGACTGTCTATGTCTTTATTCTTTATTCTTTATTCTTTAGCATGCACTGCTGTTTGTGGGTGAGGGCAGAAATCTCTCTCTTAATTGACACAAGTTTTTCTGAGCTGATTTCTCCCCAATATATCACACAAACTGAAAAGAGGACCTAGCAATAAGGTATAGAAGGATAAATTAAGAAATACTGCTTACCAGTGCCAGCAATCTGCCATCCTCCTTCATAGCCAGAAAGCGGTTTGCACTTACACCTTTGATTGATACCACTCCTCTTTCTTCTGCTTGAAGCTGCAGTTTGACTGTGAACAACAGGACAAAGTTATTATGAAATTGGCAACGGAAAGCTAAGTTATTCTCTTATACACGTTTCACATGGAAGCAATTCAAAACAAAACAACTCCTGAAGCAATATTTTATGGCCCTGTTAGCTGCTTATAGATGGGAACTTTTTAATGTTCTTAGAGAGCTCTCTCTTAGTGCTTATAGAACAGCAGCAGAGAGACTGTATGGTTAGGTTGCCAATGCTCAAAGGCATGAGTATGTTCTCTGGTTAAGGCTTAAGATGCAGCACTGTACCTCTGTGGGAGCTGCTAAACACCCCACAGGTTCCCAGCGGACAGCATTGATGCACTTACAGTGTGACCTCCAGCAATAAGCAAACAGGAAGAAGGCAAAAGTAGGTGACTATGGCAAAGACACAAGAGACGGCGCTGTGCAGATTAGGCACATGAAAGTAGATGCAATCCATTCAAAGAAACAACACCAGCAACCCTCTAAATAGTTATGATTTCTTGAAAGCCTGTAGGAACACAGGCACAGCATTTACCTACTGACGATGAAACAGAACAAAGTCTGAACTGAGTTTTCTGGTCACAAGTGAAACGCAGTAGTTCACAAACATTTCCCCCTTTACCTATAGCTTGTCTCAAGACATGAAGATAAGCATTTTTCTTTCCCTCTTCTTTGGCAATTCCTGATATCACCTCATTCAGAAGAACAAATTGACCCTTCAGTGGTTAAAATAACAGAACGCGGCCCAGGAAGTTTGCACACATGCTGCATTTCTACCGAACTCCAACAAGAGTATCTGCAATACGCTAACTCACAGCCCAGACTTTTCAGCCATTAATACGTAGGACTGAGAATACAACCGTACAGAAAGTCCACTGAGCATCTTCTCAATGTGTCAGGTTTTTGAGGCTTGAAAGAAATCTAAACACTGTGCTGGAGCTTCCCTTTTTCTGGAGAACTAGCAGAGGGAGAAACAGCAACGTGCACGTTGTCCTAAATCTCACAAGGCACTATTTAATCCCAACCATTTCAAAACATCTCCCTCTGAAAGTTCAACTCTGATTATTTAAAATGTCACTTGGAAACTGCAACAGCACTCTGGACCGCTTACAGCTTCACATGTGGTCTTCTCTCCCCTCTCTCCCTGCCTTCAAAAAAAACGAAGCCTTTCCTTGTGGCTCTGCTCCGCTGCGGGCTTGCCCGAGCAATACAATTTTATCTGATTTCTGCTAAAAACAAACACAACCATCCGCGTAACAGTTCCCCAAATCCCTATTTGCCCTCTGTCCTGGACGGCCACTCCTTCCAGACAAAACTGGACCTGCGAAGTCATTCACACAGAAGCAATCCCAGATTTTCCTGCGCAGTGCTGTGCTTTCACTTACAGGGATTTTTAAGAGAATAGTATTTCCATGGCAGAAAGCAAGAGCATTGCAACACAGCCATCCACAAAATAAGGAACAGGAGAGGAATAGCTTCTCGCCTTCCTGGGGTACTTGGAGAAAACACTTTTGCCAAAGAATTGCAGCAGCTAAAGAAAGAACAACCAGTGCGTTGCAGGCTGGTATGGGTTACATGCCCATCAGGTGTTAAAGTGAAGGATGTGACTCATCTGGTGTGAGACTTATCGGCGTTTCCAAAAACCAACTGGACTGAAACTCTGTTTTCATTCCAGAAATTATTTTGGGAATTAGTGGGGAAAAAAAGAAAGAAAGAAAGAAAAAAACAACAACAAAAAACCCAAAATATTTTGCATCTGAAAATGCAATAGAGAGAGATCTAACTGTGACAAAGCCCAGCAAGACGAAATGACAGCTACACTTGGAAGTACTCAGCAACACACTTGCATCAGTCTGGATTTGCTGCTCAGAACCAGCATCTCCAGTTCACGTCCTGTATCATAAGACAGGTATTGCAGCTTGGTGGGATGAGTCTGACAGGCAATACCAGTACGTGAGCCTCGTGCACCCCTCTGCTCTCATGAAGTGTTATCAGTTCTTCTATTTAAAGATGTATTTGAATTATAAAGCTTCACCCTTTAACCCTCAGAATAAATATTTGAAGCAACAGTAAGGTTTGCAGTGGAAGCATCTCCCAGGATTCTGAGGGTGGCTGTGGCTCATTTGACTTTTTGTTTTGGGGAAAAGATTTTGCAGTCCAAATGGAAGACCTTTTTCTGCTTTTCTGAAGGAAAGGACTGAAAAAGTCCTAATAGTGAGAATGCCAGGAACATGGAACTTTTGGGATAACTGTCGCAAACTCTTTTTCAAGCATTCCACTGGATTTTATATATTGTATATAAACGTACTGGCAAACACCGTGTTTACATTGACTCCTCTAATTTTTATACAGATCTGAAGCCAAATTAATGCAAGCGCTACTCTATAAAGAAGAAATGGTTTATTATGGATTATATGCCTGTTGCCATTTTACACAAATAAAAAAGTATAAATAATCAAGACCTTTCCAAATCACTAATAGCCCAAGACTTCTAAGGAATACAGAAACCTCTGCTATTGTAAGAAGACAGCTGAAATGCTGAATTTCACCCCAGAATCCAGTACCCAAAGCACAGCCCTCCCTGCATTAGGCCAACAACAGAGCTGTGAGCAGCTTCCAGCAACATGCAACACCCAGCCTTTGGGGGAAGCTGGAGCGCAGAGAAGTGCTCTGTGCAGGGACTGGGGGGAAAGAGACTTGTGAGGTGCACCCAAACATGCTTAACAAGGAACAGCTGTGTCAACCATCTGAAAACCAAGGTGATGGAGTTTATCTGAACAGAACTTCATAGAATACTTGGCACTGTTGATCCATATCTTTCGTGCCCCTTAAGTCACCAACAGCAACCGCTGAAATGTGAGCCATCATTTTAGATGTATTCATAACATTTGTCTTTAGTGTAATTGAATCTCAAAACCATGAAAACCTTTGGACATGATGGTGAATAATCTTGAGACGTGACAGCAGTCGCTCCACGCCTTAAAACCACGCTCACCAGCTGTTTCCCCTTGACAAAATGTAGGTCATTTAATCAAGAAGTTTGTAACCTAAGAAAGAAGCACAGAACATCGTCAAACAGCTAATTGTGAACCCAGGGGCCAAAAGGGTGTGTTTTCCCAGTTATTTTTGCAGTCCTTTGGGAGGGCCCCTCCAGCACAGCACAATATACGTACGTGCTTCACTATTCACGTTCACTGAACACCCTTTAGTTTGTGGTGAATGCCACAAATGTGGCTTGGTAGCAACAAAGGACCCGGCACGCTGAGCAAACGTCTTCGGGACTAAGGCTGCATCACCGCAAGGTTATAAAATATACAGCACTCCCATCCCAGTTATAACCTACATGACCTTTACTACAAAGGAACATTCACTACTGCTAATAAGACTTTCTTTAGCACTTCTCCCTAATAAAGTGAAATGCGATCACCTTCCCTTTGTCTACCAAGTATGAAGAAATGAAATGCAAGGTGGACAAATTTCTTCTCATGCCACAGTAAAAACTCTCAGGAAGAAGGATGAAGTGGTATCTTTGCGAAGATATAAGAAAGATTATAAGAGATGAATACAAAGAAGATAAAGTTAAGGCACTGAACTATAATTAGGAGATGAATTTGAAGCCCTCTTCTGCAGCAGCCTTCTCATACTTGAAGATAGGATTGCAGAACAATCCTAAATAAAGCCCTCTTCTGAGCAGTTTCCTTGTTCCTGTGCTGTGCACAACCACAAAACTTTTACCTGGACAAAGGAATTTGTTCACAAACCATAACATACAGCTTTAACAACATGACCCATTATACTGCAGCGTTGACTTCCCAGCAGGAAAGAGTGCTGCAGTACCAGATGTAGAAGGGGGACAATCTCAAACCCATATTAAATTAATAATAGATATTAATTGCCCTTTGGACAGAATGTATCAAGCAAATTCTTAACTAGAATGTTGGTGTGGTTTTGTTTTTGTTTTTAATAATAAATACATGCTTTTGTTCTTTTGTTTAGAAAAAAATATTAAAATAACTGGCTCAAGAGCAAGAAGCACTGAAAGTATTCCAGCTGCAGGGAAAAGAACTGTGATATAAAAAAAGCACATGACAGACAAGTCTCCTTTTGCTCACCCTGCAGGTGACATCAGGAGATTCCTTCACACTACTCTCCTGGCAGCCCTGTTTCCTAACTACTGAGCTGCAATAAGCCCAGAGGCAGAGTACCCCACCTGGGCCACCAACCCTCTGTAATTAACTTGTCCTTGCAGCAAAAACTGAATTTTATTTTACTTTTTACATGGGAATTTCAGAGAAACTCACAGTAACAGAATGAAAAAAAAAAAATCCCCAGATCTTGTAAATTTGCAAAATTTACAAATCTGTTTATCATCTTCTTGAACTCCAAAATGCTTTCACAGAGGACTCTATCCAAATTCTTTCCCCAGCTGCTAATTAAGAGCAGCACATCCCACCTCCAAAGTGTGGGAATTCTACATCTTTTTGGCAGCTGAGCTGAGAGCTCTGGTCCCCATGCAGATACACAGTGCACCCCAACAGCACTGACTGCAGCACTGTGCTCCTGCCCTGCAGCCAGCAGAGCCCTGCAGGCACTCACGGCACTGCTGGCCTGTGCACAACAGACTGCAGTTACAGCACTGATGCGACCATCCGTCTTGCACAGGATACATGGTCAGGGCAGATCTACAGGTTAAACTCGCCAGTGTGTTTGAGAAAGAATGATAAATGGGCATTTATTTCACTGTTAGGAGAGGCTCGTCTAAGAATACGAAAATTGAGAAGTGATATTCAATAGCACTGTGGCTGGCAAGGTTTCCATCAGATCTCTGTTACCAACTACATCTTTCCCACGCTTTCTTTGAGAGCTCAAAAAAGTATTTCCAACTCAAGTTTTGCGTACTCCAGTAGAGGAAAAAATTTTACGGCCAAGTAGCACAATGCAGACAGAGCAGACGCCTGCAGACGTGGAGAATGCAGGAACTCTGTATGTTTTCCAGAAGGTCTTCTAC